AATCTTAAGAAAAGAATTCACTTGACAAGAATGGTTCTTGTTGATAATCCCAATGTCAATAAAATTGAACGGATTACCTTGATGAGTCTGATCTGTTGTCTCTGGTTCCATATCTCAAAATATTTGCACTTGCACCTTCCTGTAATGATATTTCGGGTTCAACCCGTTCCTGGTTTACAATATTTAAATTTCCTGCTGGTTGTTTCCTCTGATAGGGCCTGCATATATTATATATATATATATATATATATATATATATATATATATATATATATATATATATATATATATATTATATACAAGATAACGTCATTGCCTTGTCTTTGCAACTGCAACAGTTTCTATGGCTGGTTTTAATTTGTTGCGTATTGTTTATGAAATATTTACCTATTTCATATCATTGTTTCTTTTTTGATTTATTTTTTTTTTTTTTTTTTTTGCAGTTGGTTTCTTTCTTTTACAATTTGTACAAATTACAATGTTCGTAGAATAAAAATTCTTATACATTCAAAAAGTAAACATTTAAACATTAAAAACAATATTTTTATGCAAGCAAAAAAAATTTAACGTATAAATGTTAATTATTACAAATTTTTATAAAATAACAGTGTTTTAGCTAAAAAAAACGTGGGAAACTCGCAGAACACCAGAAGGTCTTATTATCAAGAACCGCTATGTAGTAAATATTAAACATTAAATATTTATTAATTATTAATATTAATATTAAATTTAAATAAACTTTTAATTTCCAATATTAAATATTTGACAATGAAGTTTAAAAATGAACATAAAATGAAATAAATGAAAATAAGAACAAGAAAAATAGTTAATATTAAAAAAAAAAGTATAAAAAGTAATTTAAAAGAAATAATAAGATTTGAATACTCTACAATATTGTTTTAGTTAATTTTGAAAGCAATTTATATTTTTTGCATGTGTTATATTCTTATCTGTAATATGTATGCTATGTAATTTTAAATTGGTCCCTTTTTTATAAATGTTTATAAAACTTTTTTATAAAAGTTTTGTATAAAGGTTCACCTAAGGTGCCCGTAGTATGCAAAGTATGTTTAAAGTTAGGTTTAATTTCATAAAAATTATGAAAAATTAAAGGACATTGTTGATATTTGCTTTTATACGTGAGCCATAAAATTTTAAATATGTTTAGCTCATATAATTTATAAATATTCATACTTTCGAAAAGTGTTTTGCATGTTCAATTTTATTTTTAAAATTCATTTTTTTAAATATTTAACCAACACAAAAACAAAAACAATTTACAAATACATTTTTGATGACATAAGTAACAGATGAACGCTTGTTTAACTGCATGTTTTGGGCCTTATAAGAAAAATAATTACATGTCTAGCGATGAGTTTGATTTATAAAAATAAAGCAGCAAAGTCAAATCTTGATTTAGCTAAACCATTAGACTAACCATTAACTGGTTTTAAGATTTAGTAACAAAGTAATTTGAGAAGAATTTAATATTTAAAAAAAACCTGAGTAAACATTAGGATTTTTGCATATCTTTTTTGTTAAAGTAACATTTATCAGAAAAAAATCAAGAAATTCAACATCCAAACTAATTCAGAACTAATCTTTTACATAGGTGTCAACATTTTCATTTGATGATTTGATGAGGGAAAAAAAGTACAGTAATAACTTCAGTCCATAAAAATTAAGAACTTTTTGTTAACAATTTTATCAACTTTGATAAGCGTTACACAAACAGTTTTAAAAAACAGATTTGACTGGTAATCTCTCAGGTCTATCTAAATAAATGTTTAACTGGTAATCTCTTAGATCTATCTAAACAAATGTTTAATTTAGGTAATTTCTCAGGTCTCTCTAAAATCTACATTATCTGCTCCACCATATCATATACAATGCAACTTAAAAGAAATTATGGTGTGCGTAATAGAAAACTTAAAAGAAATTATAGAAGTTTAGAAATTAGGAAATAAATTACCCCCATACGTAAAAGCATCAAGTTGATAAAATATTATTTGTACTATTCTCAATCAGGCTTATATTCAACGATAATTTTTAAGTTTCTAAGAATAATATTTCAGCGTTCAAAAAGTGACAATATAAAATTTAAACTCCCCTCAACTTGAGGGTTTTACAAATTTATATGATCATAATTCTTGAACGCTGAGAGATTATATTATGAAGCTTATAAATTATCGACGAATATAAGTCTAATTGAGAATAGTACTAAAAATTATTTTACCAACTTGTGGCTTTCACGTCTGGAGCAGGATGGGCGAAAACTTAAGGTCTTTTTGATCCCAGACTTCAATCAGCGCAATTTTTTTTTACATAAGTATAAATATACAAACGTTTGAAGTTTGCTACATGTCTGGAAGTTATCTCAAAGACCAAAAAATCCTGGATTTACCCTTGTATAGTAGTAAATAGTTTTTGTTAATTGTTTTCCTTTTTTTTTTCTATTGGTTAATTTAACTGAAGAATTTAATCATAAAAAATTTTTTACATTTTAATTTTAAAAATTAGCATAAAATTTAGCAGTTAATATAAACTATCAATATAAAAAAAAAACTTTATAAAAAAAAAAAAAATCGCTTCGTAAAGTTTTGTGGTTGGTTTCGGTATTTTTGTCTTTATTTTGTCAATATTAAGGCGGGTATTTGAATACATTAAATTTTTATTTGTTACCCAAGTAACAATTTAATGTTTTAAAATAACATTTGTTATGTTTATTCGCCCATTCTAACAGAAACGGGATGTGGTTTGTATTTTTAATGAAGCTCTTAAGTGTTGCTATTCTGAGATGTAAAGTATAATGTAACTGATGTGGTTCTAAAACGTTTTTAGGTTGGAACGTTTCAAAGTTGGAAGTTGTATTTACAATTATCACATTAATTAACGACGTAAAAATTTAATTTATAACTTAAGGGTTCAAAACGTTTTTGTTGTTTTATTACCATTAAAAATTTTTTAACAAGCCTTACCATATTATATATAACATAATGTAACACTAGCCCTGCGACAGAAAAAAAACTGTTAATGATTTAACGTTTTGACTTGAAAGAGAAACTTCTTAAATCTTGCAATAGTAAATGGAGGGCTATAGCAGTCTAAGTTTGTTTTAGTCAATTCTGACTTGAAAAGCTGATTTTAAATTGATTGATTCAATGAGGGATTGCTACTTGACTGATTGAGGCTGCAAATTCTAGTTGTTGACAACTTGATTTGTAAGATATAAAAATTTCGTTACAGCTTTTTTTATAATGAGATGAATGAAACAGAATTTTGTTGACGCATTGTATGTAACAAAAGAGTTATTTATTATTAGGTTTTTTGTTTTAACTTAAATCTCACTGAACCGAAGCGTTCTTTTGAAGTAAATAATCAAATCAATTTTTAATTGGATACATGGAGAGTTTAAAAAAAAACTGCGTGTGTCATTTTTTTCATCTTATGGGGAAAAAATATGACAACAAACACTGTTTTTTTTCTTACAAATTTCGCGGGCTAGCTGCTAGCTAATTTCCTACCACGATGTGTGTGGATTTAAACATTTATTTCTTCAAACTGTACAAAAAAGTAATGATACATTATTTGTGTATATGCTGTAAATAAATAGCTTTATACTTGCAGAATGACGTCAGACTGCTAAATTAAACATGCACTTTATATAATATATAAATATAAACTAACACGCTAAACATGCAATATATTGCAAGTTTAGCAGTCTGACGTTATACTAAAATAGCATGCTGTAGAGAGCTTCAGTATATACAGTAATTGACGAATAAATAAAACCTGCATGGGAGTGTAGCTTCATCAGCTAAGGGTTTGGGCTGGGGCAGCAATTAATTTTTCAATATTCCTTTTTTGAAAAAACCGTATGGAATGAAAAATGCAAAAAAAAAGTCGGCAATTACTGATTCAAATCTACATTTGTAGAAATGTATAATATTATATACTCATCGACACCCACGTGACAAATCACGAGTAATGCGAACCGAACAATTAAGTTTTATTGTATTTATATAATTAAATGTAATTGTATTTATAAGACATGCGCATGATCTGCTAAATCTAAAAGAAGAGTACTTAATCACTAAAGTGCTATCAATATTGGTCATTGTAATATGTTCTTATGAATCTGTATTGACCTTTGAAAGTAAAGTGAAAAAAAAATAATAATAATAAAGTTAAAAAAAATTCCAATATAAAGTTTTTATTTCATTTTAAAAAACAAAAAATACTTACAATTTTATAAAGTAATATTATCTCAGAATGTTGCTATGGGTTACAATATAAGCTTTGTAAGTATTTTCATAAATATTAAATTTGCATTTTCAGCACTATAAAAAATATATAACTCAAAACAATTTATATTGCATTATATTGTATGTTCGCAAAGCTGTCACAAAGTTGCAAATAAAAATAAAAATAAGTTTTTACAAACTAAATCAATTTCCTTATTAACAAATAAAAATACGGCTGACGTTTACTTTTGCATTATTGCACTTCTAAGAAAAAACATTCCAGAAAGTAAAAAATAATATTAATATTATGTTAAAGACATGGTGGTAAATGCTTTTGGATTGCAAAAGGTGCTCCACGCCTTGACATGTCTATTTTACACCGATGTTAATAAAAATTTAAAGAATTATCAAATCTATTATAATTTTTAATATATCTTTATAAGATTAATATATTATACATTTAGATTCATTGATAAACTCGAAACTAACAATGCGGCTGTTTAATTCTTCATTTGGTACGTAATAAGTTTAGAAAATATAACAAAAAGAAATTATATGTTTAAAGACTGAGTGGCACAATCTCAATTATAAATAAACAAAGCCTTTATTAGTTTTTTACATAAAAGCATTTTGAAAAGATTTGATCTGTTAATTCTATTAATGGAAACACTGATATAAATAATCCCAAATAAATATTTTATATAAAAAGACTACCTCACATATTTTAGTATTTAAATGTAATACAAGATGCGTAGGCATCTACGCAACATATACGCAACCTGTAAGTTTGCACGTTGTTAAACGAATATATAGATCCTAGAATTGATCAATGTTCTACTTCAAACTGTGTTATTTTTTAAAATTTAAGTTTTACTTCTTTGAGCTCAATGCGTTTCCTGTTATTATTGTAGAATTTATTGTTTAATTTTACTGACGTTGTCACAAGGTAAATTAATTAAAGAAACAGAAAAACCAACCGAGTTACATGCAGAGAAACTTACAACAGGTGGAGCTATGAGCCAAGATACTTTTGTGACTTTACGAGTAAATAAACAAGATTATGCTTCAAAATTAGATAGGCGTGGATCTTGGTCAAACTTTGAGAGTTCATTGAAAAAAGTACCTTCATCCGTCGGCCAATTCTTATCAAAATCTTCGTCTCAATCCAAAACACCTCCGATAATTAGAAAAAATAATGAAAAATCTACTAGAGATGCGCTTTGGTTGTCAAGTAATCTTTTAAATAATGTAACCGCTGAATTATGTTACACTAAAGAAAACGAGACTGACAAATGTATAAAAAATCCGTTAATTCGCCCCCTTAATTCTTCGTCATTTCGTTCAGAAATAAATCCAATTATTAGAGTTATTGAGGAGACAGTCACAACAGACGCGAGTAAAAGTGATAAAAAAAGACTCTGCAAAAGCAGTTCTTCGGAAATGTTTCCTTTAAAACATAACAATGACGAATTAAAGAGTAAAAGTCATTATTCAGACACGTTCACAATAAAACATCAAAATGACTATATAAGAAAAAAAAGTTGTTCTTCTGAAACATTTCCAACTAAACTTCAAAACAACAAAATAAAAAGTAAAAGTTCAGACACGTTTCTAACATTAGCAAACAACGAGGAAATAAAAAATGAATGTAGTTTTTCGGACACACTGCCAACTAAACTTGATAACGAAGAAACGAGGATTAAATGCATCTCTTCGGATACACTGTCAAAAAAAAGAGAAAGTGATGAAATAAGTAAATGTTATTCATCCGACACGCTACAAACAAAACCAAACAACAAAGAAGTCGGAAATAAAATTAATTCATCTTGTATATTTTCTAATCCTTCCAATATATTCCCTAATTCATTTGATATAGTCCCGACAGTTCTTTATAACAAAGTAGAAAACCAAAATAATTTTTCAGAAACAATTTTAACAAACTCTCACAATAAAGAAAATAAATGCGCTAAAAAAATATCTGACGCTTTAGAAATAGTTAAAAAGTCTAAATTGCCGAATGTCCTAGTTAGCCGAATAGTGTTTGGAAATTCTAAAACAGAAAACGGAAGCTATTTAAACGGCTGGAACGCAAACTTTTTTGAGGAATCTAAAGTTGAATCTAATTTGCTAAACGAAAAAAGCACGGATAACATTATTGACAATATAATTTTAGAAAGCGTTATTCTAGAAACATTGAAAAAGAGTACAGTAATGATGACCTATGACCCAGTTTTATCAATAAATAGAGCCCAACATATAAGTAAGGAACTAGTCGAGACAGTTAAAAAAAACTTATTCAACGAAAAGAGTTTATACAAAGTCGTGGCGCAAGTGTTTCTTGGTGCACTCAAAGATAACGGATTTTACTTTGCCACGCAATGTTCTTTTGAACCGAACGGCGATTTATTTGCTTCTTCAATTGTTAATACTAACGACATGTTTGTATGTGCGATTGTCAAAGCAGAAAAATGTGTTTTAGAGGATATATGAACTTTTAATATTGTCATTCAAAGAGCTACACTGCTTAGTTTCAAAATATTGTTATTAATTGTATTGCCTTGGAAACTTAAAACCCTTAATCAATGAAAATTTAATATGTAACGTTTTATCTGTTATTAATGACGAACGAGTTAAATGTAAGATAAGAACGACTTGTGGTGAGATTAACCTTATTTTATTTGAATTTTCGTTTGCATCAAGACGATAATTTTGTTAATCTCCGTTGATATGGAAATGAAGTGATGCAATATTGTATAAATTTAGGATTAATTAAATAAAAAGAATTTGTAAACAATTTATAAAATATTTAATAAACACAATTTAATATAATTAAAATTTTAAAAAGATAGATAATTTTTTTTTAAATCTAACAAAAAGTATTTTAATTTATATAAATAAAAGTTTTATGAATAATCTTCAAAACCTTAACATAGTCCCCTTCCCACCGCTGATGACACTGCATAGAACAAAGGTAATTTTTTTTTCATTATTTTGTTAATTTTTTTTTCTCTCAACCCGGCAACTTTTTTATTACATGACGTTATATTTATATACTTGCAAGCGACAACCGACGCTCATTGATAATTGCAATTATGGTACTTGCTTAAGATGCAAACACGTGGTACAACTGTGATCGGTTTCTTAAAAAATATTATATTGTATTTAATTATTTAACAATTTTCAAAAATTTAACAGTTATTAACATTTTTAAATACTTTTTGAATAATCTTCCTAAAAGTTATTTTAAATTAAATTTTTAAAACGAGTTTCTATTGTCATTATAAAATTAAAAAAATAGATTTGTTTTCATAAAAAATATGATCAAAGATTTATTATCGTTAAAAAATATAGTTTAGAACTCATTATTCTTTAAAACTATTTCATTGGATTCAAAACAATTCAGTGGATTCATTGAACAACGATGGTGTAGACAGCCTCTAAAAAAATGTTTTTAAAATGAATTATAAACATTCACTGCGAAGGCGAAAAATTCTCCAACTGACACAATTATATAACTACCTTCAAAAAAGAATGCTGCTGCAATACAAAAAGCGGATGCGTATTAAATGGTTAACACTGTGAGGTAATTAGCCTATATATGATAGATTTATAAAGTCGTGTTTTATATTTTATTAAAACGTTCTTTCAAACGGGTTCTCGAGGTTAAAAATTTTGTCATATTTTGATTTAAAGGAGTTTTTTTTAAAAGATTTCTATGTTGTCAGTAGATCCTAAATCCGATCATGAAGAAGTAAGTTCAAGACCAAAATCTTGGAATAGTATCACAGCAACTGTTAATAAATTTGTGCCAAGGTATAAAAAGTCGAAATCGTTGATTGAAAATCGAGTAACAACTTCCGCTTTACACAACGACCCATCTAAAGTTAGTCAAAATCACGAAAAACACCACGCTAACAATGCGTTAGGCAAATCTTCTGAAATATTACGCAACTTCACATTTGAATTTCTTAACCCTAACTTGAAAAAATTAGTAAAAGAAATTCCTGTTGAAAACTCAAAAAAGGTTACCACGAGTATTCCGTTATTGATGGTTCAACAATTTGACGGCTCCAATGAATCGCCACCTCTAAATAAAAAACCTTTTGGGAGACTCAGAGGTTTTTCTGAAAACTTTTCTCATTGCAAAGATACCAACAAACTTCCATTAGCATTTCGCAAATATAGTTTAAAAGATGATGCTTTTATTCACGTTGAAGAACCTCGTGACGTTGAAGAACCTCGTGACGTTGAAGAACCTCCTAGTGAAATTATATTAAAAGAGGTATCAAACCACAAAGAAATTGACCCTTTTTTAAATATTGCTGGAAATGAAAACCAAGAAAAAGAAATTATTACTATTGATAATACCTTTCTCAGAAATCTTATTTCTAAGGTTTTAGCAAAGAATACTCTAAACATGACATATGATGCAAATCTTTCAATCGCAAGGTCAAGAAAAATAAGCAAAGAACTCGAGAAGCAATTAAAAAACTGTTTCGATAGCGAAGATCCTTATCGAATAATAGCACAAGTATTTTTTGGTGAAATAAAAGATCACGGAATGAGTTTAGCTATTGAGTGTGATACTGATTATTTTGCATCTTCAACCGTTTGTATAAACGATTTGTTTGTCAGTGGTATTGTGGCATTAAGTAAGTAAAACCAAAAATAACGATATGTGATCATTTATGCGTTTGTTACACGTATATTAGGCAACAATCCATGCATGCATTAGGAAACAAATTTGGTAAACAACATAATTCAGTTTTACTATGCCTCCCGGTAGATTACCGTTGGGTTTATTCGCGTAACGTTTCTCAATGACCTTTTACCAATACAAGAATATGCTCTAAAACGGCTTCTTATTGTTCCATTGCAGAAAACAGTCATTATAACCAAAAACTAACTGTATTAAAAGGTATATAAAAATATTTAGCAAACGATTTTTAAAAAAAATGTTAGTCAAATATTCTGCTCAACCTTTAAATTTTTAATCTGTAAATGTGTTGCTTAATGTTTACTTGTTAAACTCTAAACTTGTAAGAAAATTTGTTTAAGATCAGAATAAATTACTTTATATACATATACTCATTTACTCCAACTGCATTTTCTGTAAATAAATATATTTCTCAATCCTAAAGAAACTTGTTGGTCAAAGTCAAAATAGCTAAAATATGCACACAAAAGTTTTTTTTTTTTTTTTATTAAGTTGATTAAGGTGCCCCAAGAAGTCCTTACGGTCTTATCACAGAGCACCGCGGAAGAGCATTTAATAGGAAGTTCACGCCTCCTTCCCAACCGATGTCGCAAAACTTGCCCAGAGGTGGGGTTCGAACCACGGATCTTACGTTTCTGAGACAAATAAAACCTCATTTTTTGAAAAAATTTAGTCAAAATAATTAGCATTTTTAACTCTAACAAAATTGGCCGACGTTTTTGTTGAAGAGTTATGATGAAGAACATTTTGTTAAAGAGTTATGATAGACATTCGCAAGTAAGGAGGCGTAAACTTTCTATTTAAATGCTCTTCTGTGGTGCTCTGTGGTAAGACAGTAAGATTTTCTTGGAGCAACTTACTAACAAAAGAAATTTGAACATTTAAATAAAAAATGTTTCATAGGAAATTAAGATTATTATACTTATAAGAGACTATTATCACGACTATAAGAGACTATTATCACGACTATAAGAGACTATTATCACGACTATAAGAGACTATTATCACGACCATAAGAGACTATTAGCGCGACTATAAGAGACTATTATCGCAACTAAACTAAATAGTTCTAACAAAAAATGACCTGCTGGGAGAATTATTTTTGCTAGCATTCGTCTCATAGTTTCAAAAGACAGTCAAAACTAAACAATTAAAAAAAAAAAACAGAATCTAGATTTATAATAGAATCTAGACGATAAGACAAATTATAAATTGTCTTATTAAGTCAAGATATTGTTGCCGTAAAATACAAATAATACTAATAAAATACATTTTAAGATTTTTATTTTGAACTTCATAATAAAAAACTGCATCAATAAATTTATTATTTATTATCATTTTTTGTAATTTTTTACGACTGATTTTAATTACCTGGTAAATTGAATTTCTTTTAATTTTATCGTTTTGCATTATTTTTCTTAACTCTCCTCCTCATAAGCTTTTTTGCTTGAAGATGTTTTTTGGTTATTAGTTGTGATGCCTGATGTACCTCAGTTGTTCAAACCACACCAGACGGTACAGAACGTCTGTTTGATGTCGGACGAACGTAATAAAGAGTGAAACAATCACAAAACGTTGTTTGGACGTCTTCAGGAGGTTTATACATAAAAGGGTTCACTTATAGTTTTACGTGCACGTGCTTTTAGTTTTTATTTTAATTAGTGGTTGTGATATTTATATAAAAAATTTAAAGAGTAAAAATTCAAGGGGTAAAAAATTTAATAATGCGCAGTCCTCCAAAACACTTATTAGTAAAAAATTTTATCAGAGTTTGTTTAGTTGATATTACGCAAATTATTTGAAATTGCTTGCGTGTTTCGTTTGCTATTAAGATATTGTTAAATACTTTTAATCAGATAGGTGATATATTAAAGTATATACTAATCCTAATATATGAAGAGAACGATAACTTTCATACTTTAGGCAATTGTATTTATTCTTTTCTAGACGATTAACTAAGTATGTTTGGTTTAAAAACTTCTTTTTTTTTCACTTTTAATATTCTCCATTCTATCCTTAGACACTCACTCATTTAACATTCTCTGCTCGGACATATATTTTGTGATTATCAGCAATTTTATATGTAAGGTACTCTTTTCATAATGATGTAGTAGCAACATCATCAAACTAAAAAGAAAACATTTTTCCTAATCAAGTATTCGCCAAAACTTTTTCTCTATAAGAGTGATTAATAAATGGAATTTACTTGCATTAAATTGGTTATCGATTTTGAATAAACTTTTATCGTGTTTATTAGTTTTGCACCACTTTATGACATCAATCAGATCTCTATGAATTAAACTGAGTTTTATGCTTGTCATACTTTGTGCCAACAGTTTTTGTTTATACGATAGTTTGTTTATACTTTTAATTTGTTTGGAAGCTCTTCTTAATACGTCTTCTATTTGGTGTTTGTAATTAATAAGTCGCGAGTCACAAGTTGATCCACAATATTTCAAATTAGGGCGGATAAAAGCTGAGAATAATTTTTTAAATGAATATAAATATTAGATAAGATGAAAATCTTATATTTATTATCTATTATTTGTGTTGCCTTGTTGAATTGAATAGTTGTGCGTTTTGAAAACAATAAATTTGAGTTCACGTGAGCACCTAAACCTGGTTCCCATTACTCTTGTATCTGAATCATACATAGTATGGGGTTTGTTGTTGCGCCTTAGGTGTAGTACGGAGCTTTTATCAATGTTAATTTTCGTTTACTAATTTTGAGACTATAAAACAAGAGTGTCAATACCGTTTTTTAATTCTTCCAGAGATAATATTTTCAAGTCTCAAATTGTTTACAAAAGATTTTGGTATTGTGTCAGCGAAAAATGTAACTTTTGATTTGATTTCTTTAGGAATATCGTTAACATATATAATAAAAATTCACGCTGAAAAGACGGAGTTTTGGTTAATTACACTTTAAACGGTTAAACTTGTTTAAACTGTTGACGGTTTTTTAGAAAGTTTTTTGTATCCAACTTAGAATTGATACATTTGTATCATAAGCTACAAAAAACATTTGAAACAAAACCCAAGTAATTATTGTCAATGGGAATATTGTTATCTAGTAATCGTGTCTCAGAACCAATTACATTTAATATGTTAGTTAAGCATGAATAATCTGATCGTAATCCATGTTATTGCGGATGTAATACGTTGTTATTAGTTAGATGTGCTATAATAAGTTTAAATAGTTATAAAAAATTTATTGAGGTATAAGTTAGACTGATAGGTCTATAAATAACTGCTTTAAATCTACTTTATTTTTTTAAATATGGGCAAAATTGTTGCAACTTACCGTATTTAAGACATTACACCAACTGTGATATCCATTAATTTCAACAAATAAATTTGTTGAAATTAATGGATATCACAATCCGCTTTCGGGGTTTGAAGGCTAGTCTTTATAAATATTATTAGACACAATTTCTCAGGGTCTGGTAATTTAGATGAGTTAGTATTAAGGAACTTCAATACTTTCTGGATTTAGTTCAATTATGTTTGAAAATATTTTCTCATTTAAACTGATTGGAGTTAATTTCTAATTATTAGAAATTCCTTCCATTAGAATCTAGTAGAAACAATTTGATATATTCTCCTTATTAAACGTTTATTATACGTTTATAATAATGACTTATGTTATTATTATGCTAAATATTGTAAACGTTTAATCAACGTTTATTAAAAGTATACGCTAAAAGGCTTGAAATGTAAATCTAAGTCAACCGATTTTGACTAAATATTGACTGGGATAATGGTTGTGATGACTTTTGTCAATCAGTGCTAGATGTGAAAAAGAAATCAAGTTTTCATCAGATGTCATTAAGTGGCTAATTTTAGATGGATTTTGGTTTTGTCTAATGTGTGTTGCTTCGGAAGTATGTTGGGTTAGAAAAGAATCACGAATAGTTTTGAAAAATTCAATTTATTCAGAAGCATTTGCAATAGATTATTTTGTTTGATTGTTTTGGATTTCGCCAGCTAATATTTAAATAGTTAAAATCTCCATCAATAAAAATGTTTAAATGTTGATCAAATAGAGATGATTTATGCACTCGCTGTTTTCATTGCTGCTATTCGGTGTTTCCATTGTTACCATTTGGTGTTTTATTGTTGCTATTCGGTGTTTCATCGTTAATATTCGATGTTTTATTGTTACTATTCAGCGTTTTCATTAATACTATTCGGTGATTGGTTTTTTATTGCTGTTTTCATCGTTTTCATTAATACTATTCGGTGATCTGCAGTATAAACTTAATAACAATTTCAAAGTTTTTGTTATAATTTCACAACTGAGTGATTCAAATGGAAATAAGTTAAGATTTATTAAAGATGTTTATAGGGTATTATCTTTGAATATGAATTGAATCGTTTATTTAAGAAACTTGTCAAGAACGCTTTTTTAACTTTATGGAAAACTAAAAAAGCTTCTAAATTTTATGAGTTTCTGCAATAAACGTAATTACAAGAAACACGTGGACTTAATAGTCCACGCATTTCTGTAAAAGGCGATAAAACCAAATTGGGCTATTTATAACCTATAATAACATCAATTTTGAAAAAAAATGCCACTTGATGGGTTTCTGAAATAAACAATTCAATTGTTGCTGTGATTTGTATATACTAAGTAAATTTCAATAGCAAACTCGTGATCATTGATTTCAAGTTTTTTATTTTTAGGTAGAGCTTGTGATAAAAAAAAGTATAAGTTTTAAATTGTCAACGACTTGTTATTCATAGCGTTTATAGTTCATAGCGTTTATTTAATGATTATACAAATAGCTTTTACAGATTTAATTTTATTAATTTTTTTAATAGTTTGTATTTTAATCCAATTTTTTATAATTTTATTACATTTTTTATTTACTAAAATTGAATTTAGTGACTTTGTATCACTTGATACATCATTGAAAGGATGTGTTTGGTTAACTAAGAAAAATATTCCAATTATAACTAACTTAACAAATTATTTTACCCTTCCCATAATTTCCGTACTAAATAATTTTGAAATTTCCATGAAAGAATTTGAATGTGCTTACAAAATGCTAAAAACCAATAAAGCAAAAGGCCCGGATGGAATAAATAGTAACATTTTAATTGCATCTTATGAGAATATTAAAACTATTCTTTTCCAAGTGTCTAGTTGTTTAATAAAACAGGTGATATTTCCTGACCAACTAAAGATCGCCAAAGTTTCACCAATTTTTAAAGGAGGGGAACTATCAAATATAACTAATTATCGTCCAATTTCTGTACTCTCTGGTTTTTCAAAAGTTTTTGAAAGGATTCTTTACAATAAAGTATATGATCATCTTTCTAAAAATAAAATATTTTTAGAAAGATGATCATATATTTTATGATCAT